TTGGGGCAATCGTGTCTCTCTGTCATACTGCCAGTTTGGGAACTCTGGGGTTGTTTGATATATCATTACTCTTGCTTTGGCTTCTTTGTATATATTGGCGAGAGTTTCTATATAAGGCCTGTCAATACCTTATTTCGCTAGGGCTTCTATAGCCCTAAGAGAATGCTTTTGACGATCTATCAAGTCTATAAGGCTCTATGGCTAAAGGATGTTCGAAATAATATACCGTTTGATCGAATAAATCGGCTGACGGCGTCAGCGATGGCTATGAAATGACGATCAATGGCATTTCCCATATAATTTTAAATATAAACAGCGATCTTCATTTCATAGCCATCGGTGACGCCGTTTTTATTCGATCATACGGTATATGATATGTTATATAATATATAAAAAATAAATGTTTGAAGAATGCTATTTTGCGAATGCGTTCACCGAATCAAGAACTTGTGGGCTACAAAACTTGATTGATACATTGGCTTTTCTGCCCTCCCAGCTTGATGTTCCAATCTATAATATTCGTGAACCTGAACGGAAAGACATATCGTCTGGTATTAAAAATATCTTGTAGACACCTTTTTTTCTGATCATTGCAGTTTAGTACATGTCATTTATAACTTTGTTTACACCAGAAATATAGCAGTTATCTCTAATACTTTAACTTTACAGAGACCGTCTGTTAACTGATCACCATTCGCGACCATACCCATCGAATAAAACCAAACGATTATTTGCAATTTCAATTACCCCGCGATCCTTATTGCTCGGCATTCCCCTACCGTTTTCGGTTCGCGGCCTATAGGTACTTAAGAGCGAGCGCGCGTCTTCTTAAGGCTTATTTGGAATAATTGCTTCATTAGGAGGAGCCTCGGCCGGTACTACTACTGGCGGTACGACGGCTCCGCGGCGGCATCTAGCATTGTCCCGTCAATATTTGCGAACGGAGAATGAACGTGTGAAGCGTACATACACGTGTCAGCCGGTACCCTGGGTAATTTTCAGCAAATTGAATCGTTTAGGGACTGAGTCGTTTTGAGAGACGTCATATGCATCTTATTGAATAATCTTACGAGAGTTTATTACGCTGTACTGTTCGGGTCGCTCTCAGGAGTCGGGTAAAGCGGGTCTGTGGCCGAAGGAAATATATATTATATTTCAGAAATCTGCCTAAGGCTTATCCCGATCCTGTCGTGTTTAACCACACCCAAAATTCCAAGCACACGTGCTTTGATTAAGGCTTGATTAAAGTTTGCAGAGCTTCAGCATTTGCCATAAAATAGCGAGCAATTTGTTACTAAACCATATAAATTATCTATCACTGTAATCACAAAACTTTAATCTATTTCCACATTGCAACGGAATTTTTAGTTATGTCTTTATTTTCAGGAAAATTTAATCCAAACATAAGGAATATTTTGTTGATGTTTGACCATAAAAATCTTAAAAATAAAGAAGTTGTCTAAAAATGTGCTACAATACGGATAGAGTATAATCCATTATCTTTAATTTCCTTCTTTATTTGTGTAAAAATACCTTGCCAGTTTTACATAAAACAGTTTAATGCTGAAGGCTTATTTTGCTACTTTTTACTAGTGAAATTGACTCTTAAGGTTTTTTCACCTATAAGCAATCTGACTGATCCAGTAATGCCTGAACGAATTACAAACCTGAGAATACTTTCTCAGTAAAACCGATCAGCACATTCGTATTTTCAGTGAAAATTAATCTTTAAGAAGCTGAAAAAGAAAGCAAACAATTGAATATTACACAGATATATTATTTAACAAACACTTTGTCCTTAATCTTCAAGAGGTTGTTGTTACACTTGAAGAAGGATGTACGGAGTAGGAAGAGGACCAACGAAGCCAAGGTACTCTACAGTTACTTTCCATTACCATCTATTCATCAAATCAAAGTTTTAGATATCTATCTTTAGACATGGGAGAATAATCTGCAAGTTCAAATGGTTTAGGAATCAATAAGGCATGACTCTGTTAAATAAGATGTAACGACTCCAAAAAGTGTATAAAGTTTCTAATCAAATCATTCTATTTCGGTAAAAAATTAAGGCAACAGAAGTTAAAAAAGAACCTATAAGTATTATATTATTTGAAATGATATTCTTTCTTAGAGAACTCGAAGTCTTATCTGGTATCAGACAGGGAGATAGCCTTAGCCTATGTCTCTTTAACATACTAATAGACCAAATAATTGAAAGTGTATACGAGGTTAATGCAGGATTTAAGATGAACAACCGTTGCTGAGAATACTCTGTTACGCAGATGATATTATCCTGATTGCTAAAAATGAAGACAGCGCCTCTTTTATAAATTTAACTTAGCGATACAGAGTCTTAACATACAAATTTTATGCCAAAAAAAAACACAATCTATGGTAGAATCCAAAGATAAGACCATAAGACCCATACTGACTTACGCCACCGAAACAAGAGCAGAAACATCAAGAAAGAAAGAAAAAGGAAAATGAGAACAACAGGGACGAAAATATTACGAACAATAAAAGGGACCACACTGCTCGATAGAATACGCAACACAGACACGCTTAGAGATTTGGTAGTACAGGACGTTATCAGATGGGTAAGAGCAAGGTGCCGCTGTTGGAGAGATCATGTAAACAGTATGGATCCAGATCGATTTGCCAAGTGGGCCAAAACACAAAAGCCAGAGACAAGATGTCCAGCGTTGGTATGACAGCAGGACATTAAGAGCATAAGAGGACAATAATTAAGAGAATGGACAGGATATTTGTTCTTCAATAAGTTAATTTGCAACCCAACATTATTATCCAAAAAAATGACTGAAATCTTGCCCGTTATAACGAGGAAGATGAAAGGCATAGTTAGCAGGTTATTTAGCCTTAATAGCACAATATTAAACGCAGAATAATACACACTCAACCAGAGTAAACCCGCGATAAAAACCTCCTTAATACATCTCAAGGAGATTTTAACGAATAAGGCTAATGTAATTTTGAAGAGCATCCACTTTTTCAACTGTCTTCTTTCTCGGGACAAAAATTCTTCATCGCTACGGTAGCGTGGGTACCGAAGGTTATTTAAACTCATACGCTGGCTTATTAATGAAATCACATCACATCGTTAATATCAACCGTTTCTTTTTGAACGTATAGCAGCTCTCGTTTACGTTTCTTGTCGCTGACGTCGTTAGATGGTAAGATGGTAAAGAGGTTGGGAAACAGACGGACAATTTGTCTTACTGGATTTATTTGCCGATTCTCACGGACTATCTAGCGTCATGGTCTAATTGACCCGATTGTTATTATGGTATATATTAATTGGAGCTGTCTTTTGGTGGGCTCGTCACACGAAATGGTTTCGGTTTTTTTAGCGACTGATTTAGATATAATTAATGCTTGATAGTTAATTTCTAATTACATATTAATTAATCATAATAATAAATAATAAACTTATGGCATATTAGCATTTGGAAGGCAAACTGGTTTTCAATCAAAGACGGAATATGAGATTTATCTACTTTCCGTAAACTGCCTGAGAACCTATAGACTTGATGCATTCTGCGCCGGTGCTGCCACCATCGGAGAATATCATAAACAACTGGTATATACAAATACACGGGTTTAAATAGCGAGTATACGAAAAATTTATTATACAATTATTCTAAAAGTGTCAGAAGGTCTAACTTGTATTATAATTTATTATTATAGTTATAAAAACTTTTTAGATGAGTTCAACTACGATAGCGAGCATAGTTTTAATCACCGGATTTGCTAGTGGAGTTAAAATTGGGGCTATTTCGGCTATACCTAAATTTTTTAAAGGTACATAATTATAATGTTAGAAGATGCTCATAATACATTTAATCACTAGTTGATTAAAAAAGGTATATCATTAATATTGCAAATTATATTTTATTCTCTCATAGTATATACCCTATTTAATTTTTTGATTATGTATAACGAGCACTTTGTTTATTCACTTGTTTCGTCCATCTGCATGAATCCATTTTTGCTTTTGATCAAATCGGTGTGCGAAACTATGAAGCTATAAAATAATGTTGTTAGGGGAGAGTTGAATATCCGTAAATTTACAGATAAAGTGTAAATTTTCAGAAATAGTGTAAAGTTTAAGAAAAGTGTAAATTTACAGAAAAAAGTGTAAATATACAGAAAAAGTGTAAATTTGCAGAAAATATTACAAAAAAAGTGTAAATTTGTAGAAAAGTGGTAAATTTACAGAAAAGTGTAAATTTACAGAAAAAGTGTAAATTTGCAGAAATAGGGTAAATTTACAGAAAATATTACAGAAAAGTGTAAATTTGTAGAAAAGTGGTAAATTTACAGAAAAGTGCAAATTACACAGAAAAAAGTGCAAATTTACAGAATAAGTGTAAATTTGCAGAAATAGGGTAAATTTTCAGAAAAAGTGTAAATTTACAGAAAAAGTGTAAATTTACAGAAAAGGGGTAAATTTTCAGAAAGTGTGTAAATTTACAGAAAAAGGTGTAAATGTACAGAAAAAGTGTAAATTTGCAGAAAAGGTTTAAATTTACAAAAAAGGGTAAATTTACAGAAAAAGTGTAAATTTGCAGAAAACGGGTAAATTTTCAGAAAAAGTGTAAATTTCCAGAAAAGGGGTAAATTTACAGAAAATATTACAGAAAAAGTGTAAATTTGTAGAAAAGTGGTAAATTTACAGAAAAGTGTAAGTTTACAGAAAAAATGTAAATTTGCAGAAAAGGGGTAAATTTTCAGAAAAAGTGTAAATTTACAGAAAAAGTGTAACTTTAGAAAAAAAAGTGTAAATTTACAGAAAAAGTGTAAATTTACAGAAAAAGTAAATTTTTAGAAAAGTGGTTTGGTTTGGAGGAATTTACAGAAAAAGTGTAAATTTGCACAAAAAAGTGTAAATTTTAAAAATTATATTATTATTCTATGAGAATCTATTTTCTAAAAAACATTTTCTGTCTTTCCAGGTCCGGCATAGTTAGCCGGCCCACCCGATGTCCACTGCGGACGCGGCGTTTGGCCCCCTCCCTCCCGCCTGGCTCTCCCGCTGCCGCCCTTTTCCCATCACACCGCCGCTCATCATGCGCGAAAAGGACTCGTCGCCCCGCAAGATGCTGGTCGCCCAGAGCGGCCACTCGTCACCCAAGCAGGCCGCGGTCTACCCGCTGTCGGTGAGGGTGCCGCCCCACGAAGGGGCACCTTTCGACCTGAGCAGGAACACGAGCAGGGCGTCGCCGGGGCCGCACATGAGCCCTGCAGGGAGGCCGCAGGAGCAGCACGGCGAGGAGCAGCCGTTGGACTTGAGGGTGGAGCACAAGAAGCTGAGTCTGATTATAATGAGGCGACAGGTGAGTGTAAAGTTGTTTTCTTCAGATTACGCATTTTTAGAATTATATACTTCTCTACCGGGTTGTTAAAAACTTTTAGTTTATAAATTAAAGTTATTTATATACAGTTTGCTAAAATTTTTATGAACATAGGAATAAATATAAAAAAATACATATATAAATATTACATTTGATTGTACATCATATTTCAATTACTTAAAAAAACTTAAAATATTATTATTTTTCACGACTTGATTTTCTAGTGCAGTTAATTATATATTTTTTTTTTGTTTCGTCTTTTTCAGATCGAAGACGAGAACCGCAACATTATCTCACCCACACCAAGCACCTCCAGCGAAAAAGAGGAAGTGATAGTCGAGGACCGATCATCCCCTCCCACGCCCAACAACATTCCCAAACCACCGTTCTCCCCACAACTACCCGCCTACCCTGGAATGCTATTTCCACCCCAACCCATCCATCCCATGATGCTGGACGCCATATACCGAGTGCAAGGTGGCGACAAAGTACCTAGACTACCTTTACCCTACCCACCTTCACCTGGATACCCTCAACGGTACCCGTTCTTAAGTCCAAACATGCTCAGCCCACCTGTAAATAATGTTCCTTTCGATATGCTGAGGAATGCACCCAGTGCACCTCCTACACCCAAAGTATTCGACCCTGCAAGTGGTAAAGCGAAGGATAGATACGCTTGCAAGTTCTGTGGTAAAGTGTTCCCACGTAGCGCAAATCTTACGAGGCATTTGCGAACTCACACTGGAGAGCAGCCTTACAAATGTAGATATTGTGAAAGAAGCTTTAGCATATCCAGCAATCTCCAAAGACACGTGAGAAATATTCACAATAAAGAGAAACCCTTCAAGTGTCCGTTGTGTGAAAGGTGTTTTGGACAACAAACTAACTTGGATCGTCACTTGAAAAAGCACGAGGCTGACGGACCAACAATTTTAGATGAAAGAAATCTCCAAAGAAGAAACTTGGGTAGGAACTTGAGCGAAGAATCGTACTTCGAAGAAATCCGTTCGTTTATGGGAAAAGTTACTGACGGAAGGCTTCTCCAACACCTGAAACCCGGAAGCAACCTACCAAACTTCCCACTTTCTCTACCTTCAAAACTGTTCGACACCGGCAAACTGCAAGACATGGAGAAACCATCGACTCCAAGTGAAGAAACGAAGAGAGACTCCTCGTATTTTTCGGATAAGGATAACTACTCTTCGAGGTCATCGACGAGCTCGGAAACGTCACACAAAGACGAAGACATCACGATGAAGAGCGAGGAGAACAGCAAGAAGCAAGAAGAGGAAGACAGCAACAACAACAGCACAAACCCAAGTGGTAACACATGATTTAAATTTTATCGTGACTGTGATACAGAACGTATAAACTGTAAGTTTAAAAAAATCTTTTTCACAATTTGTTCCTGTCTATATCAAAACTTATTTTATTACTTTTAAAATCTTTTTGTTAAATAATTCCTTCTCATTCCTTTTTTGTGATAAACATGTTTAGCTTTTCGGTTAAATCAATCAGACCGTGTATCCGTATCATCTTGTCCAAACATAGAACTGTTTAATTCATGTGACATTTAAACGGCCTTGCTAAGTGTATTCGTAATGACGTCTATTAAGAAAATACTACACCTACTACAACAAAAAAACACGCCTAATTAACCAAAAATACATGATCTGTCCATTTCCAAATTTACAAAGATTAGTAATATTTTTTTTGATCAATTATTTCTGTCAAAGATTAAATCTAGAACAAATAAATGATTCTAAAAATAAAAACAATTAGTTTTTATCAGGTAAATAAAAGAATTCGTGTTAACGTAAAATGGGTTTTAAATGTCAGAGGTTTTTTGGTTTATTGCATTGACTCCACCCAATCTCTCGTTTGTTGCTTTATATCGGTTTGAAAAGTTGTACTGCAACACCGGAAAGATTTAAAATTGGATAAAATTTTGCAACTAGATAGCTAGGCGTAAACTCCCTAGAGTATCGAGCAATGAAATTAGAAAAGTTCAACATGTTTAAAGCTAAACAAGACAATAATAATGCTGTGACCAAAGTAAGCAGGTTATAGAATGGATCTTTTTGTATGAGGGCGTATTTCAACAGTGTCAATATTTAAAAACATTTCTTAATTTAGACATTTATACAGGGTTGTGCACCACATACGACACGGAGTATTGTAGCTAAACGATTAGATTTTTACAAGTTGTAAGTTTTGGATTCGTTGAAGGACTATTAGAGCTACAATTTAAAAATATTTTTTCAAGATACAGGGTGTCCCAAATAAATAAAAAATATCAAAGTTGTATTTTTTTAAACGGAACACCCTGTATATTATTTTATTTTTAGTTTCTACGATTAAAATAAAGGTAAATTTGATAAAGATTTATTACACTTAAACCTTACCGTTTTTGAAATATTTTCAATTTTGTGAAATTGCAATCAAAATTTTAAGGCTTCATTTCTGCAAGGGTATCAAAGTTTTTAATACTAAATATTTACTGAAGTTTATTTATTGATCAGTTATTGTGTTGCAATAATAAAAATTATAATATCTTATACAGAGTGTCTAAAAATTTATTTAAAATAATTACTAGCTTTAAACGGCAATAACTTGTTTAATTTAAATAGAACATCCTGTATATTTTATGAGAATGAGATGCACAATTTAATTGTCTATCAAATTGTATTATACCATTTTTTACCTATGGCTTCAAGTTTCCGTAAAAAATGCATTTTCTTGTAATTTTAAATTCATTTATCAATATACCCATGGAATACTGACATTTCAGATTATTTTTAAAGATGTACCAAATTTTTAAAGAGTACAGATACTAATATTGTCGATATAGTTTGTTTATTTCATTAAAAAATAAAAAAAAACTGTTTAAATATTTGTTAAAGAGGACCAATTAATATGATTCCAGTATTCAAACTACATTAATTGACTATTTGCGTTGATTAATAATTGTTCCATCATTTTGTTAAAAACTATAATATTACTAGCCTGTACATTTTGTACATTTGTTGCTTTAAAAACAATCTGAAATGTCAATATTCCATGGTATATTGATAAATCAGGTCTAAATTATAAGAAAATGCATTTTCTACGAAAACTTGAAGGGATTGGTAAAAACTGGTATACTACAATTTGATAGACAATTAAATTATGCATCTGATTCTCCTAAAATATACAGGGCGTTACATTTAAATTAAACAAGTTATTGCCGTTTAAACCTAGTAATTATTTAAAATAAAATTTTAGACACTCTGTATAAGGTAGTATAATTTTTATTATTGCAACACAATAACTGATCAATAAATAAACTTCAGTAAATATTTAGTATTAAAAACTGTGATACCCTTAGAGAAATGAAGCCTTAAAGTTTTTACTGCAATTTCACAAAATTGAAAATATTTCAAAAACAGCAAGATTTGAGTGTGATAAACCTTAATAAAATTTACCCTTATTTTAATCGTAGAATCTAAAAATAGAATAATATACAGGGTGTTCCATTTAAAAAAATACAACTATAGCGTTTTTTACTTATTTGGGACACTCTGTATCTTGTAAAATTATTTCTAAATTGTAGCTCTAATAGTCCTTCAATGAACCCAAAAATTAAAATTTGTAAAAATCTAATCGTTTAGCTACAATACTCCGTGTCGTATGCGGTGAACCACCCTGTATAAAACGACTGCTACAAGTTACTAGTAAATATTCTTCTACATTAGTTTTCTAGTTGTTTATAATACACAGCGAAGAATAAAATAATATAAAATGTAAAAAATTAAATGTGAAAAACATTAAAATCGTTTTAGATGCGACTGACATTTGCAAGAACCAAAAATATTGACTTTTAGCTATTGATTTATACTCTTCCATACTAAGATCATCATATAATAAGGTAAAGATGGCTGGTTCATCAAATATAACAGATAATTGAATATTCTTACCTTTACAGCTTAACCTCAAATTGCATGCCAATGAATCAATTTGAAATACAGGATGGTCATTTTTTTGGTAGCGCGTTTTAATTTAATTTGGTTAAAATATACCTTACAGTTTGAGCAGTTATTTCAAAATTGCAACCTCTTAATATTTAAAATAACGATTGCTGCTTAACATCTGCTATGATGTCAGTATGTGATTCATCAGTATCATCATCAGTATATGATTAAACCTCAGTTTAAGTAAAAATGATTAAGTCCCAATTGCAGTTTTAATCACCTGATGATGGTAACATTATTAAGGCGCATTTTCACGAGTCAAGTAAATTGATCAAGTCACAGGAATTCAGCTAACTTAAAAAAAAAGAAAATGATATCGAAAAACTTCTGTTGGTTGGTCCAAAATGGCGACAGTGCATAAGGTTGTACTTTAAACTCGCAAAATATTGGCAATAGAATTAACAAGAAGTTCATTGTTTAAAAAATTAGAGGCAAAAAAAAGAAAATGGGCCAGAAAATGGATTGTTGAAACTAGTGATGTAAGCTTTAGTTACTTTTATGGACTCGTAACTACTAGTTACTTTAGGTAATAGGACTCTCGTTACTTTAGACTCGTTACTTTAGTTACTCGTCACTTTGGTACTTAGTATCGTTACTTTATAATCGTTGTTTTGTGCACAGGTTGGAAGACTTGGGCTTGACTTGGAACTTCGTTACTTATTGTGCGCGGCGATCTTCGTTGCGTGCTCGGTTTAACCTATAAGGGGTTTCTACTTTCTTCTAGTGTAAGGGCTTAATAGGATAATTTGAATACTCGGTATTCAAGTACTGAATAATATATTTTTAATAATATGTATAATATTTTTTTAATGATATGTTAAATAAAACTATGTACTATTAATAAAATTAAAAATAAAAGAAAAAAATCAAACAAAGAAAATATGTGTATAATAAATATATAGTATTTTTTTTATCTTTTTTTTTTCTCTCTCTCTCTTTCTTTGTATTTTATATTAATAAATATGCAAACATTAAAGAGTAAAAATAAAAATTCGTCAAGTCAACACTTTAAACATAAACATATTGATAACAACTAGATCTTCGTCGAAGTAAGGAATATTTCAGTATCGAGTTTCGAGTCCTCGGTTCGTGCTTTTCCAGGCATTACGATTACTGCCGGCGCAAAAGTAACGAATTAGCTTAGTAACGAGTAACGAGTCCTAAATTCAAATGGTCAGCGTTACTTCGAGTCATCGTAAAGTAACTGTTACTTTGTAACGATTACAGAATTTTTACATCACTAGTTGAAACTGTTTAAGCAAATTTTGAAGCGTTACTTTATCAAAAACGTGTCCATTAAGTGGAATCAGTCTTTTGTATCTCTTTTTTCTATAAATAAAAATTAGCATTTCATTTTTTAAAGAGAAAAAACACATATACACTTGACTTGACTTATCTAAAAACGCCTTTAATGAAGCAGTTTTAAAAAGTGTTTTACCGCGTAGTAGATGATTTGTGGAATTTCTCTTATACACAAAAAGACCACCCTGTAGTTTATGTTTATTGAACAAACTATTTTAGAGATGGGCTGTAAATCTAGTAATATTTTCTTTCTCCGGTTATCTACTGAATCTATTTCTGTTTGTCATTCATCGAAATACTTAACGATTTAGTGTACTCCTCCCTAAGTGTGAGATCTGAAGAAAAGGTTAAAGCGTGAAACTCTGGCAACTAATGAATGAGCCGGTGTGTCGCAATCGGCAGGCTAAAGTGAATTAAAATAGTAAACTTGATATTTTCAGCATTTTTATTAAATATAATCGTTGCTATAATAAGCGGTTTCGTAACGATCTACTCGTTTATTCATCTAATTGAGCTTGTAGATCTGTATAATTAATTGAGAAATACTCGGAAATAAATATATAACTATAATACAGCGTAAAAATTGGAGATAATAATTGAAATGTTAGAAGTCAGTCGTATATTAGCTGGTAATTTTAAATTAGCTGTTAATTTGATTAAATCATACCTTCGGTAACTTACAAAAGAACGAATAGAAACAAATTCAAATACATTCAAGTATGATGAAAATTAATTAAGGATTAAATTCACTTAAAAGAACAAAAGAAAATAATTGGAATATTTTTTATATAATTCTCTTTTCTGTCTTTATTTTTATTTCTTTTAAAACACTTTTCTTCACTTTATTTTTCCTTCTCATAATTTTAACCACTAGCAAAATAAAACACTAATTGACCACAATAATACACGGAAAATATAAATTATAATAAACCTATTACTATAATAACTCTAAACCCCTCAATTGTAGAAAACACTACTGCATTTTGCGTCTATAAAATGGTGCTAAGCATCATGTTGTAGCTTT